CACTTCTACTCAACATAGTCCTTGAAACTCCAGTCAGAGCAAGTAGACAAAAGAAAGAAATTAAAGGGATCAAAATAGGAAAAGAAGAGCTCAAACTATTCCTATTTGCTGATGATATGATTCTATATTTAGAAAACCCAAAAAACTCCACCAGAAAACTTCTAAAACTCATAAATGAATTCAGTAAAGTAGCAGGATATAAAATTAACCCCCATAAATCAATTGTGCTCCTATACACCAATGATGAATCAATTGAATAGCCCAAAAATAATACTTCGAAATCAGTCTAACAAAAGAGGTAAAAGACCTCTACAATGAAAACTACAGAACACTAAAGAAAGAAATTGAAGATAACCTTAGAAGATGTATTAGGATAGGCAGAATTAATACTACCTAATGGCCATACTACCCAAATACTATACAGATTTAATGCAATTCCTATTAAAATTCCAATGACATTCTTCACAGAAATAGAAAAAGCAGTCTTGAAATTAATTTCATTCACTTTGATGTCTGTGAATTCAGTTGTTGGGGGCTTATAACCTTTTGGAGGTATCTCATTGGCTTATGTTTTCTGAGATCCTATATTTGTGTTACCATTGTGATGGAGTCTTCTTCCTCTTTTAAGTAAAGGTATTTTAATGAGCACCTATCTCTTTAAAGTAAGCCCTGGGCTCAGAGTCTTACTGTCAACATTTTAACCAGTGCTAAGTTCAACCACCAGAACTGCTTTGAGAGGAGAGAGTAACCACCTACAAGTAAGAGTGGGTAATTTAACAGCAAGCCAAACTTAGTGCTAATGATCTCCACAACTCTACTCATCAATGAGAAAACTGGGTGAAAAAATAATACAGAAAGGCTGAAACATTAAGGATTAATGACAATATACTTAATACTAAATTATATCATTAAGAGGGAAAAAATGAGGAAAGAAAAAAGGATGAGAAGGGACAGGGATGGAGATGAGAAAGAAGAAAAGTGGTATTGAGAAAAAAATTTAATTGAAAGAATATATAAATTTAGTTGGAACCTTAAAAAAACCAATGAGGGAAGACTCAAGAAAACATTTTAATAAGAGGTGGGTTCACTTCTTATTGTTATAGGTGTCAATCCTTTGGGTGAGGGAGCACATGGCAGAGAATAATGGGGCAGACTGGGAGCTCAGATGTAGGGCAGCAGCTGAGGTGGAAGGGCACTGGATAGTAGTCAGAGTGGGAATGTGGCCAGGTGTGGAATGGCCTCCAGTGGCATGGCTGTGGCCAGTTATAGAAGTCTGCACTACTCTGTAGGTACTACACTCCCTGGCAGAAGTGCTTGGTGAACCCCTGATCTGCAAAGGCACATGTATCACCCTAGACCCTGTACTCCCCTGAAAGTATGGTATATTCTATTAGGCTGCCTCCTGCAGCCTTCAGCTTGCAGCAATTTTATGTCAGGCTATTTGGCTGGCCCACTTCAAAGTTATTCCCTATGATAGTATTGGCATCTCTAAATGGAATAAAATTGTAGAGATTTAATTGTTCTCTGCAAAATGGTTGCCCACTACAGTTCTCCACCAACAAACTGAGAAAAGTGGAGCACTTCACCAACACAAGGTGGCTTTGCAGCTCTTTTCTCAGGTTAACTCAGTCTGATTTTCTCTTCTATCACTGTTTCTGAACAAGCTTGTCAGCTTTGCCCTTCCTCTTTCACTGTTACTCATCTCCTCAGACCTGCCCCAATGGTGCTAGTTCTAAGGTAACAAATTCTTTCCTGTTTTATCTTCCAGTAATCAGAATTTCTGAGTCCCTCCAAGTCTCTGACCTTCCAATATTGTGAATCTGTGCACTCCCTCTGTAGGCTACCTCTTCAATCAGCTGTTCTCACTGCTTTGATTCCAAACTACAGAGGGGTTGAGATCTGTAGCTTACATCATCTCTGCCATCTTGGATCTCTTAAAGGCATTTCTGACTTATCATATTTTCACTTTTAATGTTTTTTTTGGGATGTAACCTCATTTTAAATTGAGGAACATCTGTCTATGCTAGTCATCCTTGCCTTGAATGTAGTACCCTATACAAGTATTTTTTTCATAGAGTTGGTATAGTTATACTTTTCTATTTCCTTATTTGTGGCTTTGCTTTATTGTCTTTAATTTTTAAAAAATATTTTTAGTTGTAGATGAACACAGTACCTTTATTTCATTTATTTATATGTGGTGCTGAGGATCAAACCCAGTGCCTTACACATGCCAGGCAAGTGCGCCACCACTGAGCTACAACCACAGCCTATTATTGTCTTTAATTTTAACTCTGTATATGATATGACTGTTGAATTAAGTAATGATAACCCTAAGTAATAGAATATTACTCTCTATATTGGTATTCTCTGTATTTGCTTTTTTGTATGTGATTTGATAAAATATAAAGTCTGTGGCTTTGACTAGATTCTGGCAAACTACTAAATAAGCAGTAAGATTCGTGCTTTCAGATTTATGAAGATCTCTATTTCACTGATTAGATTTGTTGTTTAAAGATAGTTTGGATATCTGAGATTCCTACTTTAGGATGTGTCTAAATTAATATTCACAAAATTATAATCAGAGTTTTTGAGGTTATATATCTTTTAAAAATTTAAATTATGTTTATTTTAAATGATAAATAAAACAAAAATTTTACATATCATTGCTGGTACGATGTGACATTTTGATACATGTATACATTTTGTAATGTTAAAATCAAGTTAAACAAATCTATCTCATCAAACATATAACATTTCTTTATGGTGAGAACATTCAAAACATTTCCTTCTAGCTTTTTAAAAATACATAGTACATTATTGTTCATTTGTAGTCACCTTAACTGTGCAAAAAGCACATTAGAACTTTTTACTACTATCTTAATGGAACTTTGGTACTCATTGATCAATCTTTCCATTAGAGTTTAAAATGTGACATAAAAATAATAGGATCAAGTTCTTATAAAGAATATTTTCACCCTCCTATTTTAAAAGTCATCAAGGTTTTTGGTACCAGGGGAAATTTGTATAGGAAGAAAAGGGTTAATGTTTCAAATGCTCATTAGTATTTTAAATCAGTTTAATATGTTTTAGAAAAAGATTGTTTCCTAATGATATAACAGCATTCACATATTAAGATTTCCATGTTATAATACAAAGGCAATATAAGGAAAAGTGAATAATTTGCCACATAGTAAAACTTGTATAGTAAAGCATTTCTACAAGGTTGTACAGTTCTAGAAAACTACAGAAATGAGTGGGGTATTGTTTTCTTTTGAGGGCTATTAAGTCACTTATGAAAAAATACTGAGTATAAAATGCATAGAACACTTTTATTAAAAAATAAAGAAGTACAAAATCATATAATAGCCTTGCGTTTTTAATTTTGACTTTGAAAATGTATTAAATTTTCCTTTTTCCACTTCCAACAAAAGGTGAATTAGTAATTTTCATGTGACTAAATTGAAGAGTAAGATACATTTCTGTTGCTACCTACTCATAGATCTAAGAAAATTTAAATATATACTCCTAAGGTAGAATAATTAAACTTTATTTTATTTATTATTTTTTAATATGGTACTGAAGATCAAACCCAGTGCCTCACATGTGCTAGGCAAGCGTTCTACCACTGAGTGAATAACCCCAGCCTGAATAATTAAACTTTAAATGAAGAATGTTTAACATTAACATTCTTTGGAAATTTCTCCTATCCTATACCATTCACCACTCCATTCTCTATTTATTTGAGCAGTACAATTTCAATTATTTATGACACCTCTTCTTTCTCTCTCTAGTTCAGAAACTGAAAATAACTGAAACTTATTTAATATGGCATAGCAGTATTGGCTATTTCTAGAGAAGTATATTTAGAAAAAATGTTAAATTAGAAGAAATATGTTTTAGAAGGTTTTCTAACAATACTAAAAATGAAGTCTCCAAAAATAAGGTTTGTATAAGATTTTGACACAAGGCCAAAATTGGGTTTTATTTGATATTCACAGTACAATAGTAAAGGCAGTGAAAGGATGCAGTAAGTAGTTATGGCAGTGAGTGGTGATTGGTTGAGAGGACACAAGCATGGGGAGGCACTTTAATGTAGATTGTCTTGGTATTGAGTTCAACAAATATGATGGATCAGAAAAGCATGAATTTGAGTGTGAAATAACTTATCTCCATCATTTTATTGCAAAGAATACCCCCCTTTCCTTATCAAACTACAATACACACAAAATTTACATTCTCCTCTGAACAGTTATCAATCTGTAATTCTTTCCTGGAGATAAAAATCCATTTCTCTAATAAAATGATGCAATAGTTTTACTAAGAAACTGGGTCTTAAGGGAATAGGAAAAATTCCCTGCTACACAGTAGACAGCCAAAATATGCTGAATATACATATACATGGATCTAATTAGGCTATCATTATTTGGCCTGAGTTTGATTTATGAAGCATGGAAACATTTACAAACAGAAAGAGGAAATCACTGATTGTTTTCTTCTCCTCATAAATGTTATGTGTCAATGACACAGTGAAAATCTGAGTATATAAAATATTTAGAAGAGGAAAATCCATAAGCAGAAAGTAGATTAATGGTTGCCAGAGACTGGGGGAGGGGAGAAAAAGGAAAACAGAGTTTCTATTCGGGGTAATAGAAAAAAGTTTGGAAATAATGCTGACAATTTGTATAGCACTGTAAATGTAATTAATGCTACTGAATTATATACTTGAAAATGATTAAAATGGTAAATCTTAAGTTATGTACATTTCAACACGATAAATAAAATTTTTTGAGTAGATATGGTTTATAACCTCTTCACAAATAACAGGAATTACAGTTAATTTAGAATTGTTATTTCCTCCACATGCAAGGAGTTTATCAATTTTGAACTTCTAATCACAAATGTGAAAAAAAATCCAGTTTCTCCTTTCCAGAAGAGAAATTTGGAAAACCTGAAATGTAACTGAAGAAACACAGAAAAAAGGATCAAAACAAACTTCTTACTTTAATTGGTTCAGGCTGCATCACAGGCGCAGGCATAGCAATGGCACTTGGAGCATAAATCTGGTGATATGTTGCTTGAACTCCATGATCAGAATAAGGCTATTACAAAAGATGGGAGGATGGTAGGAGGGGAAGAGAAAACATATTACTTTAATTTATTAATTAAAAATATTTACTCAGCAATTAACAATGTACTAATAAGCATTTTGTTACACAATTGATAGAAACAGATGAAAAACACACTCCCTAGGTTTATTTAATTCACTTGTTATCTAATCAAGAAATAGATGGTAGTAAAAAATCACCATATGTCCAAGGGGAAGAGAAAACATATTACTTTAATTTATTAATTAAAAACATTTACTCAGCAATTAACAATGCACTAATAAGCATTTTGTTACACAATTGATAGAAACAGATGAAAAACACATTCCCTAGGTTTATTTAATTCACTTGTTATCTAACCAAGAAATAGATGGTAGTAAAAAATCACCATATGTCCTATGAGACATATATATATAATGCATGGGAGGAAAACAAAGTACTACTTGATTTTGTTTAAGAAAGTTGGGAAGAGTGCTCAGTGAAAGTTTTCTAGTGAAGTTGATGTTTGATATGAAAGAATTAGAGAAAGAATGAGGGAATTACATATCAAAGGAAAACACCTTATTTGGGCAATCTACCCAGGTGTTTAGTAGGCTGGAAGAAAGATTATATACTAAATGACAGCTGAAAGGTGAGTCAATAGAGCAACAGGCCAGGAACAGATCATGTAAAAACAGATTTAGGGCTTGTACAACAGATGGTGGTATCATTCACACAATGAAAACCTTATGTTTATGTAATTGTATGTGAGGGGTTTGCAGAGAAGAAGTTAAGTTTGTGACATAATATTTATGGTATTTGTAGGAATTCTAGTACAGATTTACTGTTGATAGAAAGTTAGATGGCTCTGTCCAATAGAAATATATGAGCTGCATATATACTTAAGATTTTTCAGTAGCTACATTATAAAAGTAAAGCTAAACAGGTAAAATTAATTTTAATAATATATTTTATGTAAACCAATAGGCTTAAAGTATCATATCAAAGTATAACCAATATTAAATTGTTAACATTTTTATAATTTTTTCATACTACACCTTCAAAATCTGGTGTACAGTTTACATTTACAGGACATTCTCAATTTGTTCTTGCCATATTCCAAGTGCTCAACTGCCACCTACAGCTCCTGGCTATTATATTGGATAGTGAAGTCTAAAACTCAAAGGTTGTGGTTAGGGTTTACGATATAAGTATGGATAATAATAATAGCAGTGAATACATAGAGTGAAAGAATGGAGAACCAACCATGATTATGGGAGCAAAATCAGATTACAAGGGAAAATAAAGGGATGTAAAGGAAGGCCAGAGAGAGCAGTGTCATGGAAACCATGGGTAGAAGGAGTTTCAAGGAGTATGTATAATGTCTCTGAAAGGTCAACTAAGATTAAAAGGAAGGAAGAATATTTGGCAATTAGGAAGTCCTTGAGGAAGATCTTATTCAAAGGCATTTTCAGCAGAAAGTTAAATGAAGTGGACGGACTTCAGCAAATTTAGAGCAAATCGGTAGTGAAGCAGTAGAAATACTGAATGGTAGAAAAGAATTTCGGTATTTGTGGAAGAGAGTGTCACAGGATAATAATTGCCTTTTACAAGATGCTAGGCACTATACAGAGCACTCTGTATGCAACACCTCTAATTTTTCCATTGATTCTGTAAAATAGATTTTCCTGATGTCCTCATTTTACAAAAAAGGAAATCATGAAGGAAAGACTGAAGGTTGTTTCTCAAACCAGTAGATTAAATGAAGCTGTGAATGAATGAAGAGAAACAGACTTAAAATACAAAGGAAAAAATAAAGGATAATAGATGGGGTGAGATGCTCAAGGAGGAGGAGAATGAAGCTATCTAGAGCATAAGAGGCAGAAATTACCTTGGATTATGACTGACAGTCACTAAATAAATATATGACACTAAAGATAAGTCAGGAATTGGGTAGATTTGTATGTTGGGTGCTAGAAACTGATTTGGTTTCCATAAATTAGAAATCTAACCATAATAACTCACAAGAAAAGCCATGCACTCCTTAGTTTTAGGGATAAAACTATTTAAACAATAAACCACCCTACTCTATTCATTACATTATATATTAGATTATATCTTTACCTGAAACAATATTAAAATAAAAGCATGCAAATATCATTCTTTAAGGAAATACTGCACAAATTCCAAGTTATAAGATAAAAATTCCAGTAAATAGTGAATATAAAAATTCTGATGATAAGTTATCTGATATCAGGAATTAAGAATATGGTTTAATGCCAAAAGTAAATATCTAAGATAAAAACATTCATACTTCACTGTTCTTCCTTGCAAACCAGAAAGCAACAAAAACAACAAAAGACTGATTTTTTTAAAATGCCATCATCAATTAAGAAAATGTCCATGATTCCCAAGCTATAAACAATGTAGAATATACCTGCCAAGTGCTGTACAATTTGACCACTATGAGGGAGGATTCTGAGGCCTTCTCAGACATCAGGAAGGATAAAGATTTCCTTAGAGGTCAGACCTATTCAAAGATTCTTTACAGTCTTGAGTGTAGGGGTGCATTGTATGGTCAGGCCAACGTAGAATCAGGGGGTATCTGTACAGAGATCCAATTTTACACTGTTTAACAGAAGGGGAAATAGAATCAAAGAAATCATGTTCACATCATTTTTGATGTTTACTATCTACCTTTCTAACTGAGGAACACTGCCAAGGTGAAGCAGGGTAAAGGTGAAAAAGAAGTAGCAATTATTATATACCCATATAGAAAACCCGTGATAAAAGGGGACTTAACTAGGAACCAAAATGATCACCAGCAAAGATGTGGTGAAAAGGAAATTCTTGTATACTGTTGGTAGGAATGTAAATTAGTATAGTCATTTTGAAAAGCAGTATGGAGGTTTCTTAAAGAAATAAAAAATTACCACTTAATTCAACAATCTCATCCCACTTCTGGGAATATATCCAAAGGAAATGAAATAATAATTTGAAGAGATATCTGAACTTCCATGTTCACTGCAGCATTACTCACAATAACCAAAATATAGAATTAATCTTAATGTACTGTGTATTGATGTATGGATAAAGAAAATGCATTATTATATACATTACAGAATACTATTACACCTTAAAAAATAATATCCTGTCATTTGTAACAACATGGATGAACCTGGAGGGCATTATGGTATGAAATAAGACGGACATAGAAAGATAAATACCACATGATTATATTTAGTATTTGAAAAAACTGAATTCATAGAGGCAGAGAGTAAAATGATGATTGGTAGGGGCTGGAGGATGAGAAGATGTTTGTCAAAGGGTATAGACTTTTAGTTAGGATGAAAATATTCTGGAAATATACTTCACAGCATAGTGACTATAGTTAACAATAATGTGTTATACATTTGAAAATTGCTGAGAATAGATCCTAAATGTTCTCACTATAAACAAAGAAACAACAACAACAAAATACAAAAAGAATAACCATCTAAGGTCACTGATTAGCTTGACTGTGGTGATCATAATATATTCGTATGTCAAAACATCCTTAATGTCTATAGTGCAATTTCATTCATCAGTTTTCTCTCAGTAAAGCCGGAGAAGAGAAAAAAGCAATCACAAAAATGGAGGATGAGACAAATAATGAAGTGATTTTAGTAGAAGTGTTGATAATAAACACTGAGATCCAACTGTAGAAGCTATTTCAGAACAAAATTATTTTATAAACCTTAGCAATAGAAAAATAATAAAACAATGCACTCAAACTTGGAGGTTGGTGCTAATTTCTAATCTTTTACAAGTATGATTTAAAACATATCATGTGCAGTTCTTGGCATAGACAATGAGACTATTGGTGATGGATCAAGGTTATAATTTAAAGACACTTAAGGTGACATTTATAATTTTTAGTTATAAATTTGATTTATAGTTTTGAAGGCAAATTCTTTTTAGATATTTTCCTCGTTTGTTTAATGACTAAATGCTTTTAACTAACAACGTGAGCAACAATACAGACTGAAAGGCAAAAGAGAAAGGCAAAAATTTGGTGTCTCATTACTTTCAAGGAGATTGAGTCAGGGATTAGTTTAGTGGGCAGTTGACTTGGGGAAGGATTCAGGATTAGTTAGTGAAGAAATCTAAGATGAAGCACTGTTTGACATAAAAAGGATAAGAAATATCAATAAATCAAAGAAAACATAAGATGAGCAGTTTTAATGAGGGTCTTAAGTTAAAAAAGAAGAAAATGAAATATTAAGATGGATTAACAGTAGCAATTACCTTCAGACTAATACAGGGCTAGGAATATAGCTCAGTGGTAGAATGCTTACCTATCATATGTAATGCCCTGTGTTCAATCCTTAGAACAAATGTAATGGCCTGTGTTCAATCCTTAGGACAACAACAACAACAACAACAAAGACTAATATATACCTCTGGAACTGAAGCTTCCATGAGAGAGAGTGGAGGAGGAACACATCCACCATCTTGTGCAATTTCTACTGGTTGATAAATAACTTCAGAAGGTTGGAGGTATAAGAATGGAGTAGAAGAGGCAGGAGACTAAAACACAAAACCATATTTTTCATTTGAATATGATTAGTTATTTTTGTTAAACCAAATGCTTACCCAACAGAAAAGAGAAATATATATTTCATATTTTCCTAAAATTCTTTTTCAGAGCTAGCATAGAACTATCTTAGCAAAAGACTAGGAACTCTGGGTTATTATAAATTCCAATTGTGCAGATATCATTAAAGAACATTATCACTGGTAAGTGTAAAAGTTCTTAGTGCCTCAGAACCTCCTTCACAAATTTAGACACTAATTGTGGATGTATTAACATCATTAAAGTTTGTAGTTATATGGCCTCTGGTATTTAAAATGAGAGTATTTACTCTCAGCTTTGTGTCTTGACATAGAAGTGAGAAAAAGTCACCAATATTTTTGGTAGTAAGCTGTTTGATATCAAAAGTTAGAAAACAGAATACAGGTAGAACATCTCTGAAGTTCAGTTTCAGAGCATTTTAGATTTGGATTAGGGATGCTCAAATAGTAAAGGCTATGCAAATACTCCCCAATCCAAAGCACTCAGACACACTCAGAAAAATGAAACACTTCAGTTCCCAAGCCTTCTAGATGAAGTATACACAATCTGTACTTATTTAGAGGCATAAGTCAAACTGAAGCAAAATCTGAAGTAAAGGTAGAGAAGCGCTAAATTTTCCAATAACACCAACAGTATAAAAAAGTAATTCTTCATGTTAATGTACCATTCACTTATATGCTTTCACTTACATGATCTTATTTGATCTTCACAAAAATCATGTAAGGAAACTTACCAAGTTGTAGTGTTATTACATCCATTTTAAAAATGGGGAAATGTGAATATAAATGATCACACTTAACACAAAGAAGAGAAAGGTCTCAAACCCACTTCCCCTGACTTTAGTACTCATTTTTTTTGGCTTTTATTAAGGTACACAATATCAATAATTATAATTGTAAAGATTTTACTCATGGTTGGAAAATAGGTTCCAGGAATTCATTGTCTGTATAAATCTCTATTCATGCAGTCTTCATAAGAATAAAGCAAAATATGGATTTTATTTATTTATTTATTTTGGTACCAGAGATTGAACCCAGGGCCAGCCCTTTTTATTTTCTATCCTGAAACAGGGTCTCACTAAGTTACATAGGGCCTCTGTAAGCTGCTGAGGCTAGTTTTGAACCTGCAATCTTTCTGATTCAGCCTCCAGAACTTCTGGGATTGCAGGCATGTGCCAGCTGTGGTGGTGAAATTAGACATTGAAACTTTATTAATATTTACCTGAGGAACACCCCACTGCCACTGTCCTGGTAGACACTGTGCTGGGGCCTAAAAAAAAAACCAATAAACAAAATACCACCCAGGTTATAAACAAGGTTTAAAACTGGATAACTCTGTGAAGTTGGCCATCATATGAATAAATCATGAAAATGTTATGTTAACTCAAAATGGGTCAGAGACCTAAATGTAAAAGCTAAAACAATAAAATACTTAGAAATAAAACATGGCTGTAAATCTTTGTAACTCTGAATTAGGCAATTGTTATAAATTTATAACAATAACAAAGCAACAAAGGAAAATAGATAAACTGGACCTTAATCAAAATTAAAAAAAATTTATGCTGCAAATGATGGCTTCATGGAAATGAAAAGATAACCCACGAGATGGGAGAAAATATTTTCATCATGTGTCTGATAATGAAATTATTTCAAGAATATATAAAAAACCTTTAAAACTCAATAATAAAATACAAGTAACCTAAGTTAAAAATGGTTATTCAAATAATATGAATAGAATTTTCTTCAAAAAAGATATCATATGACCAATAAACATCTGCAACATCATTGTCTTCAGGAAAATAAAAGTCAAAACCACAATGTGATACTACTTCATTCATACCCACTAAGATGGCTATAATCAAAAAAGGTAGATAGATATACAAGTATTGGCAAGGACATGGAGCTATTAGAGACCTCATAGTCTGTTGATGGGAATATAAAAATGAAACAGTCCTTTTGAAAAACAGTGTGGTCTTAAATAGTTAAAACATAAAAATACCATATGAGCTAGCAATTACATTCTAGGTGTAAGACTTATGAGCCATGTAATATGTAATATGACAAGAACTTGCATGAGTATTCATCACAGCATTATTATGCACACCAAAAAGTGAAAACAATCCAAATATCTATTGTCTGATGAATGGAAAATAAAGTGTGGTATAATCATACAATGGAATTTTATTGCAAAATGTACTGATACATGCCATCATATGAATAAATCATGAAAATGTTTTTTAATATTTTTATTAGTTATTGGACCTTTATTGATTTATCTTTATGTGGTGCTGAGAATCGAACCCAGGGTCTCTCTCACACATGCTAGACAAGCGCTCTACTGCTGAGCCACAGCCACAGCCACAGCCACATGAAAATGTTATGCTAAGTGAATGAAGTCATATTACATATTACATGACCATAATAGGCAAGCTTATAGAGCAAGATATTATTAGTTGCTTAGAATGAAGTGGGAGAAAAAGAGGTTAAGTTTTTCTTTTTTGGGGGGAAGTGTATGTGATTAAGATATTCTAAAATTAATTATGGTATAATTCATTAAAAGTCATTTTAAGTGGGTGGATGTTTAGTATGTGAATTATATCTAAATAAAGCTGTTAATTAAAAAAGGTCAACTTATTTTAAGGTACTTAATGAAAGATGACAATATAAAGGACTTTTTTTTCTTAAGATAGTCATACTATATCTTAATAATAAATGCTTTATTCTTTTTTCTTTTTTGTGGTTCCAGGGATCAAACCCAGAACATTGTGTATGCTAGGTAAGCAGTCTACCACTGAGCTACATCTCTAGCCCATCATTCCTTTGAAATAAAGCTATTTTTTCTTTAAGATATATATATCCCCATAGATCTACCTTCTAAACCAAAATCACTGTAAATTCAGTGCTGAGTACTTCAACTGCTAAGGGATGATACCACTATATTATACTAAAGACCAGGATAATATGAAGTTTATGAAGTTTTAAGAAAAACCTTGAAATGTAATGATTCATGGATTTGTTAAATAAATAACAGTTTAACTATAAACTGAAAAATAATATGAAGGAGGTAAATGCTGATTAAACTGTGAATTACTTGCTTTGATTAATAGAAACTGGTGAAATAATCTATCTTAGAATTTATAAAAAAGCAAAGGAATATTCCTATCAAAGTGGCATTTTTGAGGGTAGAATTTGCTAAATATATAAATGGAAAGTGTATGAAGTGAAATTATTTCTTATATTGAAAACTCTTATGATTTATAAATTGGTAGATACACTCTTATCCTGAGTATATCTAGGTAACCTAATCTTTAATTTTATAATTTGTATCAGTGTATATAAAATATAATTTTATAATTGTATAATTTGTATAATTGTACCAGAATTAGGATTAAAAGTATCATAGAGGATTTTAATTGTAAGGTGATATCTACCTGGTAGTGATATGCAGGTTGCTGATAAACTGGCTGAGCTACCATCACAGGAGAACTAGATATAGAACGTGACTGTAAGAAGAAAAATTGAAAAATCATTTTAGGAAAAATTCTTTAAAATAGCTCATAATAAAATTTATCTTAAATTGTTACCTAAACCCAACCAACTTTTGGTTTATAATTCAAAGTATTATTTTTTTTCTCTTATTGATATTACCAATTCTACTTAAGTCTATTTATTAAAATCACCACAGTATTCCTACTTCCATTTGTTTCATTTCCATAGTAATTAATAATAAAACCACTCAGAAGATGCTTTTAGTCTGAAATGTATCACCTTCAAAGATTATGAAAGTACAGTTCTATAGGAATATTCAGGCAAATATAAGACATCTGGATTTAGGATGACACCTGCTACAGTTTTTAAATTCTTTTTTTTAAAGTTGCAAATAGACTCATACCTTTATTTTATTTGTTTATTTTTATGTGGTGCTGGGAATTGAACCCAGTGCCTCACATGTGCTAGGCAAGCGCTCTGCCACTGAGCCATAACCCCAGCCCAGGCACTCCCTATTTTTATTGTGGAAATCAGCAGTAGTTTATGTTTATATAACATTTAGAACTAAATTAATGATCCTATCTAATTTTTCCACTACTTACAAATAATAAACATTCTATTCCTTTATTACATATAAATTATAAATTTATAAGGCATATAAATTATTTACTGAATCATTTGTCAAACTGTTATTTTAAAAAAGTTGACATTTAAATGGGTTAACCATCTAGTGAACTTGTGATGTGTTTATGTCTGAAGAAAGTACAAGTAATACTTGATTAGTAATAATAATAGTGATAAGTAATTTCTTCTGGGACTTACTCTAACACCATATCACTAATAAAATAGGCAAGTTGTATTTCAAGACAGGTAAAATCAGCTCTAATGATTGTAATACAATTTAATCTCAAACATAGGCTCCAACTTCATATTGTTTTGTATTAATGTTCACCCTCATAAAAAACTGAAGTATCAGTTTTGTACAATTCACAGATTCTAATGTTAATAAAATTGTACTATGGAATAATATTAGAAAATAGCAATGTAATTTACTATTTAGAAGGTTCAAGAAAAAATCATAATCTCAGCAGATACAGAAAAAGCATTTTGAAAAATTGTCTTCTTATGATTAAAAACTCTTAGCAGACAAAATAGACAATAACTTTCATAACTGATTTAGGACAATAATTATGAGTCATAAGTAATTTTACCTTGTAGGGAACATCTGGCAATATTGAGAGACATTTTTGGTTGTCATAACTATGGGCAGGCTAGAGACATTTTTAAACATTCTACAACTACAGGACAATAATTTTCTACAAGAAATCATCTGACCCAAATGGCAATAATGCCAACCAAGGTTATGAAATTCTGGTTAACTGTATTTTCCAAAGGCCTATAAAGTGAGAGCGGGGTGGGTGGGAGGAGGGAGTCGGAGAGGGGAGGTGGGTGGGAGGGAGGGAAACAGATGAATGGTGAATTACCAAACTTGTTCCTTTTTTCAAGAACAAAGTTATGATGTAATCACATCAATACTGTAGCAGAGATCCTGTCAGTGTAATAACTCAAAGGGAAAAAGCCTCAATAAATAAAAGAACAGAAAGAAATAGAAGTATACTGAATTATAAACAATTGTCTAAATAAGAGTTTGGCAGGGTTACTGATACAATATCAATACTGAAGTATTAGAAGCATTACTATACATCAACAATAACCTACTAGGAAATGTGATTTAAAAAATAGCACTCATAAAAAGCAATAAGAATAATAGTGTACTAAAAATAAATTAAAAAAAGATGAGTTAAAGTTTTTCATGGAGCTAAAAGAAGACCTAAATAAATAGAGAAATATATCTTGCTTATGAATGGGAATATTCAAAATTACAAAAAACCTAAATGTCTCAAATTAATTTACATCTTGAATGTAATTCTATAGAATGCCAACAATGTTTTTTCACAGAACTAAACAAGTTAAACTATAAAATTTATCCTTAACAAAGCAAACATTTAAGGACAGACAAAAGATTCCTGAAGAACTAAGTGAGAGGATTTGTCCCATCAATTTTCAAGACTTAAGATAGAGACATAATAATTAAAACAGAATTGGGCTGGGTATGGTGATACATGCCTGTAATCCCAATGGCTTGGGAGGCTGAGGCAGGGGGATCCCAAGTTCAAAGCCAGCCTCTGCAATTTAGTGAGACTCTGTTGCTAAATACAATATAAAAAGGGCTAGGGATGTGGTTAAGCATCCCTGGGTTCAACCCTTGGTGCCAAAAAACAAAAACAAAAACAAAAAAATTAAAGTTGAATAGGGTAAACAAATATACCAATGGAACAGAATAAGAGAGCCTAGAAAGATATCTGCACACAGAAATTGGCAGAAGACTCACTGCAAAACAGGGAAAGGTTGGACTAGTCAATACCTAAACCAGAGATTTAAGATCTAGGTGAAAATATAGGAGATTATCTAGCTTCTTGTTCTAAATGATTTCTTTTAGAAATAAGATACTAAAAGTTGAAACCATAAAGAAAAACATTTAATACATATTGAAAGAAAGATAAAAAATGATAAATATTTTATAAGAAAACATAAACAATATTAATGGACAATCCACACATTAGAAGGAGATACTTACAATCTACACCTAGATATAATTAACTCAAGAAAAAGACAACAAATTACCTCAATAGAAAAATGGACAAAGAATAGGGTATAGACAAGGAAACTGGAACAACCACTAAGTGTATGTAATGTTTAATTTTACCAATAATTAGGCAAATGGAAAGTAAAATAAAATATTGTTACATAAAAATACTGACAAAAATGTAAAAATCTGGTAATTTTAAGTATTAGTACATTATGGGGAAATTGGAGCCCTCATGAACTGTTGTCCAGAGAGTAAACTGATAAAAGTTTTTCAAGCTGTTTGTCAACATTTAGCCAAAGATATATATACACTTCATGAATGTAAAATTTTAATTCTACACATATATTCTAGTCCAGACCAAGTTATATTATGGAAGCATGAAAATTTTCCATTGGTACATGAGCATGAATACCAATTTTCAGATCCCAAACTTCATATAGTTTCAGATTCTAAACTCCTTCTTGAGTTGATCTGCCTGTGTGAATGTGTCTGTAAACTCTGGGTTCTTCTTTTCAAAACTCCCCTTTCACCATCACCTTTTTCCTTCCCCAAAGACAGGTACACTTCTCAGTTATTCTAGATTTTGTTATGCTTTCTTATGGAATGTAAATAGTATTGGGATCAAACAAATACACAATTAAAAAAGCAATGCCCTGAGAAAAATAAGAAAGCAAAGCAAAAAGGTGGCTTTTTTAATTAAGAAATACCAAAGGAGTGATGGCATCTTATTTCATCCAGGGAACTAACTTAAATTTTTAACTCTCCATCACAGGGGCTACATATTAACTCATTTATTTGAGTTTTCCTCATTTGACTAGTTTTATTCTGAATTGTAGAGTGGATATTTTAAATTATTAAAATAAACTAAATATATGGGTAGAAAGGTTTTTTTTGGGGGTAGGGGTGCAGGGGTACCAGGGTTTGAACTCAGGAACACTTGACCACTGAGTCATATCCCCAGCCCTATTTTGTATTTTATTTAGAGACAGTATCTCACAGAGTTGCTTAGCACCTCACTTTGAATTCATTATCCTCCTGCCTCAGCTTCCCAAGCCACTGGGATTACAAGCATGAGCCTCAGCGCCCAGCTCTGTGTACAAAGTTCTGATAGAAAAGAATTTAAGGCAAATATACAATATACCTAATTTATTTAAACTTAAGTTCTTAAAAATGAGTGAGGATTTTCACAATATTTCAAAAAAATTTTAGAGATTTAAGAAAAACCTTAGAAAACTACTGCCATAGAAAAACTTGTATAACACATACAAGATCTGAATGTAGTCTTTTTTTTAAATTTACTCACTTTAGTTATATATGTCAATAGGATGTATTTTGGCAGATTACTGGATGTAGTCTTGATAACAGATAAAAATTAAAGTGTTTGACTAAAGGAATATAAAAATTGTAGTATAATCATATAATGGGATATCATAAAATATTAAAATAATTAGATATACAGGAATTAACATGATATAATTAAAAAAGATCAACATATTTTAATCTCAAAACGCTGTATTGAGTAGAAAAAGATTATTTACATAGTGTTTAAGAAACAATATTAAAAAAAAAGAAACAATATTATATATTGCTTAAGAATATACATTTGAAGTAAAAATATAAAATGAATGGGAAAGATATTCTGAGGAGAAAAAGAGGGTAAAGGAATGGGGATAAGGAGACTACCTGAATTTATCATACTTTATTATTTCCCTCTTTAAAATGAACTTAAATAAATATGGCAAAATGTTAATATTAACACATTTAAAATACTAAATTTGAGTGGTAGGGAAGTAGGTGTTATGTTACTTGTATTTGTTTAAAATATTTTAGAAATAAAACAATATTTTAAAACATTTGATAGTAAGAGAGAGAAACTCTTCTAAAATGAAATTACTTACAGGCCAAGGTGGTGGGACAGAAGTTACCTCTGGAGTATGAAAATATGCAACACCATTATGGTAAGTGTAAGGATATCCAGTTGAAGTTGTTAGATACATTGTTCCAGCAGCTGGCATTACACTAGAACCTAAAGCAAAGGTTAAATAATAATAATTGAAATGTTCAATATAACTTTTAAACATGTAATTTCTGAATAGTTTGGAAGAATATTTATCTTAACACACCACATAGCTACAATAGATACCACAAGTATTTTTTTTAATTCCATATGAAACATGTATTTTCAAATTTATTAATTTGTAGCTTTTATTAGCTTAAGGCAATTAAAAGGAGTCAAGGTTAGTAAATATTAAAAATCCACCAATTCAGACTGTAGTGAAACATGGAGCTTAAGAATTTACATTATCATCAGCTAAGTCATTATTTTTACAAACATATAATTTAGTTACTTGAAGACTTCAGGTACCATAGTAAGGTTTCTAAGATCTTAGCTAGACCTTCTATTTGTAAAAGTTCAAAGATGGTGGAGGTAGTAAAGTTGGAGAAGTATACTTTGCTGAAGATGTTTTATTCCATCCTATTTAATTCTTTGGGTTTAGAGCAATCATTCACTTATGTTGTGACTCTCTTTTATCTCCATTTTCCTTTGTTACAATTACTGCTATTGCAAACGTTGACCAGAAACTTCTTTGGCTAATGTGGGGTCCTTATCTCTTTTTCCAGGCCAGGTGGTATAAAGAAAATAAAAATCAGATTACACACACACACACACACACACACACACACACACACACACACACATATACACACACAATTTTGTCATGGAGGAGACTAAAAAGTTACATAAGCCAATTTAAGATTACTGGCCCAGCAAGGTTATGTAAATTACTGAAATTAGCAATGCTTCTTCCACTATATTAGTGCTTCTCAAAATTTAACATTAGAATCACCTACATAGTTTATTAAAATACAAATTTCACAACAAATCCCACTATTATGTGTAATTATAATGCAACAATAAACATTAAAATAAATAAAAAAATAAAAATATAAATGCATATAATTATATTGTACATTTTGTAACAAAAAAAAGCAAACAAATACAAATTCCAGGGATTTTGATTTAGTTAGATAGGGCCTACGAATTTGCATTTTGAACAGTTCTCAAGTGAATTGATATTGTTTGCAAACCACTTCAAGTAGTACTAGACTACAATTTTAAGTAGCACTACCATTTCTTAGCTTTTATATTTTCACTGCAATGGGTCTAGTATTTTAGTGTTTTAGCGTTTTTTAATCATGTTCTTTTGAGAATCTGATGAAAGCCATGGACCTTTTTCTCAGAAATATGTATAGTCAAACAAAAGTTTACACACAATTCAGGAGGTTCATGGATTCCCCCCAAAGATCATCAATGAATCATGGTTTATCTGTTAAAGAGAGAAATACATAAATAAATTTTTAGTGCATACTATTAAAGGGCATTGAACTAAGACCTGATGATACAAAAAAATTAAAAACTGGCCATGGCATCATCTTTATCTCCAGAGAAGTTAGGGAAGACAGTCATTGGCTAATTACACAATTAATTAAATGTTTGAATAATGTATGAAAAAGTGATATAGGGTATAATGCTAGGCCATATGGGACACTATGAAGGACATTAATATTATTTTATATATAATAATTATATAATTAATAAAATATGTAATATCATTGTTATAGCAAATGTATTATATGTAATATAAAGTAATTAGTTCATATAATTAAACCTCTCCATATATATGGAACATCTGTGAGAAAACTATTGCTGAGCTGGCTTTGAAGAAGGAATGGATGAATGGTATTGGCAAAGGAAATAGCATTTCAGTGTTTGGGAAGCAAAGTGTGGTTTCTGAAACTGAGAAGGCCAGATGGCTAAAGCACAAAATGAAAAGGGGAAGAACAGCTCAAAACAAGCTGAAATGAGATGATAAAGTGTGAACTTCTAAAAGATCACTACGGCTGCCTTGTGAATGATGAAATGGAAGGTAGCAAGATTATATTCATAGGGACCAGAAAGGCTTTCCTAGTAATCAAGGAAAACAAAGTAGATAGCTGAGACTAGGGTGTTAGTAACAAAGATGGAAAGAAGTAATGGATTTGAGAAAAAATTAAGAATATCTTGTATTTTGCAAATGTATTTTTAATACCCATTTTTCTTTGTAGAAAGGTAAAAATAGCTTTAAGGTCAAACAGTCCTAGATTTGAAGGCTAATACTACCACCATGTGGTTAAGTTAACCTCATACTTTATAGGTTTGAATATAGTTATGTTATGGCAGGAGGTAAGAAAAGACATAGGGTGAATATAGTGATGTTCCTATAGAATCAATGTTAATCAAACAGTTATTTTAAGGAAATATTTTTATATAAAATATGATATTATGAACAGAATGCAGATTATGCATGAAGTAATTTTTATATAAACCATGAGATTTAAAGAAAAGTTGTAAGCTGCACATGGTGGCACACTCCTGTAATCCCAGTGGCTCAGGAAGCTGAGAGGAAGATGGCAAGTTCAAAGTCAGCCTCAGCAATGACGAGGCACTAAGCAACTCAGTGAGATCCTTTCTCTAAATAAAGTATAAAATAGGGCTGGGGATGTGGCTCAGTAGTTGAGTGCCTCTGAATTCAATCCCAGGTATCCTCCTCAACTCCCACCTCCACCCCCCCCCAAAAAAAAACCCAATAAAGAAAACTTGTAATTTCAGTATAATGTATTGGGTTAAGACCACAATTGGCCAAGACTAATTTTGCCTTAGGAGTATTTCAGAGGAAATGTTTTTAAAACACTGACTTCCCTAAGAGTGAGTTCTCTATTTCTAGAAACAGACCTCATAATATCTCAAAGATTGCTGTGAAGATTTAAGGAGATCAACGAAAACCCATAATACTGACCCTCATACTGAATAGTTCTGAAAAAAAAACTTTTCATATATTTGAAAACATTAAACATAGTACTGATTTATTTTCTATTTTAGCAACTGGTGGATCATAAATATGAACATTACTAATTGGTACTTACTGCTGGTGGTAATGGGATAAAGAAATGTTACTATATATTACAACTTAACTCTTGTAACTAACAATAATTTGAAAATATCAGCTTCCTGCCATGTTTACTGCATTCCATTTTGAAGTGAGCTACATTAACAAACACTAAGTCAAAATTAAAATTAATTCTGTTAACTCATAAGTAAAAGAACAACTCAAATGAGCAAAAACATCAATTTGTTAAGAGAGATATAATAACTACCTAAACATTCCAGCAGAAACTAGGAAAAAGCTAGGGAAAAATAAGAAAAAGTTAGGTAATTTTATGTTTTCTCTTTAATATCTCAAATAAATGTTAAAGGCAAGAAGTTAATTAACAAGTTAATTAATGAGAAAAAAGTTGAAAGCATTATAGAAATTTGAGGAAAACAGACATAAGTTAATTCCTAAAGTTTTAGTGATTTTTCACACTTATAGTTTTGACACTAGTGGTTGGGTTACAGTACATATGATGCAGTGGTTTCTGCTATTCTATATTTTCACTTTCAGTATTTTTGCTGATGAATTTTAAATTACTTTTCCAACTTGAAAATTTTATAATTAGTAATTCTAAATTACCAAATCACAAATCAATAGACTATTTTAAATATTTTCATCATAAAAGATCTTTTCTTTAAAGATGTACCTATACAGAATATAAGTAAGCAACATTATTTATGTATATTTTTCCTTAGTCTCCCAAAACTAAGATATATTAACCCATTAAGTCTTAAGTTTTCATTCTGTGAATCTTTCAATGAAGTTGACAAAGTGCATTAAAATAGGTTGGAAATAATAATCTAGTTTATATATATTATTATATTAATTCATGTTAAATTATATTTTTATTATTATAATTATATTGTATATCACATTTTATTAATCTATACTATATTTAAGTTTTTATAGGTGTTCTACATCTAGGATGATGAGATAAAACAGGTTCATTTGGGGCAAGATATATTTATGTGACCTCCAACTTTGCTAAAACAACTTTATTAGATGAAAGAAACATGAGGTTTTAAGAAGATTCTATAAATATTTCAGAAAGGACTATTAAAAAATATTGAAAAATACATTAGTTCTCAATACATACGAGGGATCCCTACTTGTTGTTTTCTTATTGCTGGTCCAATATTCAGTTTCTTATCTTTATAATTAAGTTTTTCAGCCTAAAATAAAGAAAAAACAAACAACTTAATTATTCTGGTATTGCTATTTCTAACACCAACAAAGAAAAACTAATGAGAAACAATTTTAAAAAATCAGACTATTTTTGAAAGCAGCAGGGCATAGTAGAAAGGGCAGATTTTGGAATCAAATAATCTGGGTCTCAATTTTGGTTCCAATATTCTGACTGTAACTTCTTATTTGTAACATAGTCAATCCTCATTATGCATTGCTTCTGTATTCATGAATTTGCCTATTTACCAAAATCTATTTGTAACCTCAAATGAATACTTGTGGTGATTTCAAGGTTATCAGTAAACATGTGCTGAATGGTGAAAAATTCGAGTAGCCTGACATATGAGTTCCCAGTGGAGGTCAAACAACGCAATGTTATTTCTTCTTTTCAGTTTTCATAATGTAAAAAAGTATCTTTTTTTCATATTCTAATTAGTGCTGCATTTTTTTTTACATTTTTTGATAGTGATTGTGTTATTTAAAATGATCTCCAAGTATAGTGCTATGCTAAAGTGCTGGCTTATGGTCCTAAGCACAAGTTTCTGTTATATGCCTTATAGAGAAAATATGGATTATATGTGCTTAATTCAGGCATGAATGATAGTGCTGGTGGCCGTAAATTCAATGTTAATGAATCGATAGTATATTAAATAGGGTGTATTTAAATAAAAACATAACAAAACAAGGTTATGTACTGACTGATTGATGACAATATTGTAACCAGAGGTTCTTGGGAACCTTATATTATATTTCCCCTAGGAACAGCAACAGTTCAGTATTCACTAATTTAGTATTCAGGGCAACTTTATAGAATAAACTACGATGAATAACAAGATTCAACTGTTTATTATTTTGATAATATATAATTAAAACTCTTAACTTTTTCTAAAGAAATTAAACATTACATTTGCCATAATTCAAAATTATTACACTGAACTACAGGGTACAAGTTTTTCTATGAATGATCTTACTTTGTATAAAGTTTTTCATAAAGAAAAATAATCTCTTTAGTAAAAGGCGAAAGATTTATACGATCTGAAGAGAAACCAGAGTATTCCCTGAGGACCTTAAAAGAGCGTACTACAGAGATACTGCCACATCGATGTTCATAGCAGCAAAATTCACAATTGCTAGACTGTGGAACCAACCCAGATGCCCTTCAATAGATGAATGGATAAAAAAATGTGGCATTTATACACCATGGAGTATTATGCAGCACTAAAAAATGACAAAATTATGGAATTTGCAGGGAAATGGATGGCACTAGAGCAGATTATGCTTAGTGAAGCTAGCCAATCCCTAAAAAACAAATACCAAATGTCTTCTTTGATATAATGAGAGCAACTAAGAACAGAGCAGAGAGGAAGAGCAGGAAGAAAAGATTAACATTAAACAGAGACATGAGGTGGAAGGGAAAGGGAGAGAAAAAGGAAACTGCATGGAAATGGAGGGAGACCCTCATTGTTATACAAAATTACATATAAGAGGTTGTGAGGGGAATGGGAAAATAAACAAGGAGAGAAATGAATTACAGTAGATGGGGTAGAAAGAGAAGATGGGAGGGGAGGGGAGGGAGGATAGTAGAGGATAGGAAAGGTAGCAGAATACAACAGTTACTAATAGGGCATTATGTAAAAATGTGGATGTGTAACCGACGTGATTCTGCAATCTGTATTTGGGGTGAAAATGGGAGTTCATAACCCACTTGAATCTAATATATGAAATATGATATGTCAAGAGCTTTGTAATGTTTTGAACAACCAATAAAAAAAAAGAAAAAAAAAAGAAAAAGAATCTCAGATAATTTTGCTCTGTGTTTGTGGTGATTTTTAGGAATCAAGATCTTATTATCACTTCACAAAAGATACATCTCCAAGTTATTAGTTCAGGTAAACAGATGAAAAGAATTTTACTACAGCCTCATAATCACAGTCATGTAATGATTTGGAAATTGTCCTTCTGCAGCATTTCTTGGAGATCAATGGCAGTCTTACAAGGCACATACTTTTTTTTTTAAAAGCAGTTCATTACTGTAGTTGTACTTTATTATTAAACACCTTAAAGTATTAGTTTCAAGGAGACATGCTCCAAAAATGAAGTTAAATGCATCAAAGAACTTACCTCTTGTAAAATTTTTTGTGCATCTTCTTGTGTTTCAAAAGTGACAAAACCATACCTTAAAAAAATTGCATCATTAATAATTATTTTCTTAAAACATTACATTAGTTATATTAAACTTTTTCTTTTTTCCAGTGCTGGGGACTAAACTCAGTCTTACACATGCTAGGTAAGTGCTCTACCACTGATTACATCCCCAGTCCTATACCAAAATAATCTTTTTTGTTTGTTTGTTTGTTTAAGGATAGGTCACTGTAGGAGTAAGCCTCTTTCTATATTGTAACAGCATAGGAATCTTAGAGGAATCATTCACAACATAAGTCGGGGCACTGAAAGGAAAATAAAAGGAAGAAACCAGGGATCTTGAAACAATTTCACTCCTGAGTTGAAAATTATGAGATTCATGTTCTGGTTTAAAAATTGGAATGTAATGAATTTTGGTCTGAAGCAATAATCTCCTTTAAAGTAGCAAAAGTTTGACTTTCGAGGAATAAAAGTAGAAAAAAACTTAAAAAAATTAAAAATCTAAGCACAATAAAATTTCTTGTATTGGTAAAAGATTGTATAAATGTATTAATTATTATTGGCATATATAAACTGATTATACAGTTATTAGTAAGTTTCCCAAATAGTATCAGTTAAAATGTATACAACCTAGCTTTTATGTTTGTTTTTTCCATACAAATATAATTCATATAATGTTCAAGATACAAATATGAGTTATGCCATTTCCAAAAAACAAATTAGGTAGGGAAAAAGGAAACAATAAAAGTGTATCTGAAATTTGATATATATACACATAGAGAAGAATGAAATTATGCCATATGCTGGTAAATGGATGGAACTGGAGAATATTGTGCTAAGTGAAGTAATCCAGTGCCCTTAAACCAAAGGCTATTGAATATTCTCTCTGATATGTGGAATGCTAACCCAACAAGGGAGGGTGGGGAGGGGAAGAATAGAAATTCATTAGAGCAGACAAAGGGGAATGAAGGGAAGGGGGAGGATGGGAAATAGGAAAGGCAGTAGAATGAATCGCACATAAATTTCCATCCTTATATTGAATACATGACCAGTGTAGCACCACATCATGTACAATCACAAGAATAGGATCCTAATTAGAATGTTATACTCAATGTATGTACAATATGTCAGAATATAGTCTATTGTTATGTATATCTAAAAGGAATAAAAAACCCAAATCTAAGAAAACATAATATCTATTTAGATAATGAAATTCTTGAGTAGTGAAAAATAGCCTTTAATTTCCTTTTATTTTTAATGATTTATCATATTTAAAGTTCCTTCCTTCCTTCTTTCCTTTCTTTCCCAGGGACTGAAACCAGGGGCACTTAATCACTGAGCCACATCCCAGCCCTTTTTATTTTGAGGCCGAGTCTCACTTAATTGCTTAGGGCTTTGAAAAGTTGCTGAGACTGGTTTTGAGTTTATGATCCTCCTGACTTAGCTTCCTGAGTTGCTGGGATTACAGGTATGCACCACTGCACCTGGTAATGTTTCTTTATTAATAAAGGACTTTCTCTTTATCTGTTTGCCCAAACATTAGATAAGAGTTAACTCTTTTTACACTATTTTTTTTTGTAGAACATGTACACCATCCAGTGGAAAATGCATAAAATACAGCTTACATTTCCTTGTGCATTATTCAATAATAGAAATTAGATATTAACAAAATAATACAAATTATGATAGCCAAACAAAACAAGGATAATCTCAACTCATCTGAATATTATTTGGCACTATCAGGAAATATTCATCTATTTAAAAATAACCTATAAAGAATAGAATCCCTTCAATCTAATGTATGAAATATGATATGTCAAGAGCTTTGTAATGTTGTGAACAACCAATAAAAAAAATAAAATAAAATAAACAAACAAACAAAAGAATAGGATCCCATCTTTTCCAGAATACTCACTTGCCATATGTTGTTTCTCACTAATATTGTTTGTATCTATTTCATTGGTCCTTTTTTGTGTCTGTAAATATTCATGTCCTGTCCCTCTTTCTATAAAATAAACAGAATCCTTCACTGGTCTCCACTGCCTTCTCTCTTTTATTTTACCTTTGCAGTAAAATTCATTATGTGAATGCACTATGTGAACTACCTTTCCCCTCTCCAAAATTTGGCTTTTGTACACACAGCAATCTACTGAAACAGCTCTACACATTTCCAGACACACCTTATTGCTTTCTTCTCATTTTCAATCTCCTTGATATGACAATTAAAAATCATTCTCATTAAAGTTATATTTCTCATATTAGTTCCCTAATTAGGTCTCTCAGACACAATCTAAAGACATTCCTTGGAGTCAGCTGTTTTTAAATAAAATTTTATAATAATCTAAAGGAGGGAGAATATTCATTAAGTATCTGATCTTTAAGCTTCTGGTCCCATAGCTACCAATACATTTGGTTCTCAACATTAAGTGCTTGCTGTTTAACACTGAATGGGCCCTCAGTCTACACAACATACATTCCCAATAAATAAAGGAAAATTATAGTATTCTTTCCCATCCCACTAAAACACACACATAAGTGTCTAATACACGTAAATAGACTGAAAGGTAGAAGAAAAAGAGAGGGGATGGAATTCTGTTGAAAAAAAAAACCTACCACAATAATGGGATAGAGTAAAAAGAGAAGTTTAGACAAAAAGGAATGAAGGGAAATAAGAGGGGATGGGAATAGGAAAGACAGTGGAATAAATCTGACAATTTTCCTATGTACATATCTGAAAAGACCTATGCAAATCCCACCATCATGTATGTCTACAATAATGGGGACCTAATTAGAATGATATAAATATGCATGTATAATTTTATAAAAACAGATTCTATTGTCATGTATAACTAAAATGAATCAATAAAAAGAAAAAAAAGAAAAAATTAAATCAAATTAGTAAAAAAATCTAATAATTCAATAAGAACACAACTGTTAATTCTATATACTATCTGTAATGATACTAACCCTTTGGACACTCCAGCTCTGTCATTTACAATCTTTACTTCTTTTACAGATCCATACTGGGAAAAAAATTTTCTTAAATCATTTTCATTTGTCTAATGGCATAGAAAGAAAACATTAGGAAACCTTTTTAAGTAATAAAAGATGAAACAATTCATATGTTTTGGACACAGAAAAAGTTATAAATAAACAATACTATTGTTAAAGAATGTCTCTCCTTAAAACAGTTCTGAAACTACTATGTCATTAAAATAAATACAAATCCTTTGCTTTATGCAGCAGCTATATTGTTAAACTATTACAAAAACAATTTAAGCTGACTTATTCTAAACTTTTAAAAAAGGCTCAGTATTTAAAAGAATCTTTAGGTCACTCTTGTTCTCTAGTTGACAAATTTTGAAAACACAAATTTGGATTAGACATGCTATAATCACAGTAAGGACATATTACTATTGAATCTTGCGGCTCAGGAAGGCTGACAGGTATGACAATAAAACTAAGTAACATTGGCCTATTCCAGTCACTTTATTATTATCAACATAGTCTCCAGGAAAAGTTAGGGGTTAGGAAAGAAATATATTTCCACAATTACTTGAACTTAATTTGTGATAACAATGGACTAACTATGGGATTTAAATTTATTAGATACTTTATTTGTATTCAACATACATTTCAGTAAATTCAGACATTATGATGGTATTTAAAATAATAACATCATAAGTTAGACTTATAATGTATAAAACATGTACAAAGATGATTTTTATACTGTGGTTTTTATTTGAAATAGTCTAATAACAGACTTAAAACATATTTTCCTAGATTATTCACACTATATTCACAGTGCTTTCATTTTCTGGTTTAGTTGCAACTGTCTGCATTCAAGAATAAACATCTCTGGGAGAAATATCTTTATATATAGGAAAAAGGTCTTAGAGCAGAGTTACACCCTTTGAGTTCTACTACTATTTCACTACTTAAGTATACTATCACTTTTTAATTGGTAACAAAAAGTTTGCTAAGCTGGATGATGACAATTATTAAGTTAATCTAAGATTAAGTGAATGTCTTTTATTCTAATAAATACAAAATGAAATTAATGCTAGAATAAGGATTATTATTAGTGGTTAAAAAATTAATTCATACTATTCTCTGGTGAAAGACTCACTATATTCTACTTCTTCATGAGAGGATAAGGACAGAAAAACATAATGATTAAACACTAAGAAGACTCAGATTTTTTAAAAAAAAACTATATTATAAAACCCCATTCCTTTATCCCAACCTTTATTTTAGGTTCCTCAGCAACCTCCTAGACTTCAATCTGTTGCAGATAACTTTCTGTGATAGAATTTAGGATTTGATAACAAAAAAGGCCCATATTGTCAGAAAAATGCATAACACTAATAATTATTTAAATCAGGTAATCAGCCATTTCACTTACAGTAGCAGAGTTGTGAGGTAATTTTTAGCACCTCCATATGGGAGGTGATAACACCTATAAGAAAGGCATGCATGAATGTTTTAAGTTGAATATCCCTTATTTCCAAATGGATACATGAAAGTATTTCTAAGTTTCTCAGTAGGCTTCTAAAAATAAGAGTTTAAAAAAGTCTGAGACGCTGGCCACTATAGTTAACTATATATTTGAGGGCATTTATCTATGGTTTTGAAAGATATTAGGGAAATACTATGCAAGGAACCATAGCAGTTACCTTAAAGCAAAGGCTTCACTGTAACAATGGCCTCCAAAGTTTATATTGTTGGGTTTCAGTAACTTAGAATAACCTGACTATACAAATGTTTATTTATTGATAACTTACTTTAAAAATAAACTATGATGCTGTAATATAAATGAATTCTGAACTGAGAGTATTTCTGGTCAGTCATTAATATTTTCCAGACAGAGAAAGTCTTTAAACATTTAATGGGCTAGAGACATAGCTTAAGGGTTCAGCACTTGCTTAGCATGTGCAAAAGTTCAGTCCCCAGTACTAAAAAACCAACATCAATAATAACGACGACAAAACTTTTCTTCTTTATTTTTTGCAGCACTGGGTATCAAACCCAGGGCCTCATGCATACTAGGCAGGCACTTTACAAGCTTTATCTCCAGCCCTTTTTATTTTTAATGAAAAGTATACTTAAGACTCATTATTTTGGCAGACACCCTGTGACATTTTTCTTAAGCAGGAAAAAAAATAAATTGTGACAGATTGATTATGCAGAAATAATGTTATAAATGTCAAATATCACATCTAATGGCCAAAAGGATTTTGTCAGAGACATTCGCTATGTCATATGACATTACGTACGTCATATGACATTACCTATGTCATATGTAATATAGAAACTTAGAAATACTTCCATATATCCATTTGGAAGTAAGAGATATTCAACTTAAAACATTCATGCATGCCTTTCTTATAGGTGTTTATCACCTCCCATATGGAGGTGCAAAAAATTATCTCTCAACTCTGCTACTGTAAGTGAAATGGCTGATTACTTGATTTAAGTAATTATTATTGTTATGCATTTTTCTGACAGTATAGGCATTTTTTTGTTATCAAATCCTAAATTCTATCACAGAAAGTTATCTGCAACAGATTGAAGTCTGGGAGGTTGCTGAGGAACCTGAAATAAGGTAGGGATAAAGAAATGGGGTTTTATATATAATACAGTTTTTTTAAAAAAATGTGAGTCTTTTGAAAATTATAATCACCCATTATTTTGAAAATTGGAGTATTATGCAAGAAAGTATATTAGTGTGTTTTGATGACATGAACAAAATGGGGTTTGAGTCAGAAAAGCAGATGCTAGTTTTATTCTGTCACCATATAGACAGGAGACTATAGCCAGGTGAATGAGCCTCAATTCTCTTTTATGTGGAACTGGAAAATTATACATGTTCATTTAACTTACATAATTATCAAAAATTTTTATATTAAGATGACCTGAAACCTGCTAATCAATATCAAGTAAATATAGTATGCTGCATGCATAAAAGGTACCTTAAAGTCAATTCCTCCTACAAAGATGCGATTAGGGATCACAGTTCCATATCTTGGGGCACTTGTTGGGTTATTCAAAGGCACAGGTGACACAGGATTAGGGGATGGAGATAATGAATCTGTTTGCGTCTGATTTGATGTTTGCTGTAAAATAAAATTCTTTTAAACTTTTAGCACTAGATATAAGTTCCAATGCAGATTGTAAACATTTTTCAAAAGATGTCATTTAGGCAAAATGTAGTATTTTACATTTCACTTTTATTCTAATATTATGAAGATTATGATTAAGAGGTAATAGCTTTTAGGGCCAACAAATAATAAGGAAAACTAAGAATCTACTACAGACAAGTTCTTAACTATTAAATATGCTATTTAAATATACTTTCTAGTAATTATCATTAAATACACTATTTAATTATCAAGGAAGACTAGTAAACTCTTAAAGAAGTTAAAGAAAGAAAAAAGCAGCCCTAGATAGATGGTAGCTGGCCTGGCACTAACTGCTAGGCTATGGTGTGTTATATTATGGTGTGTTATATTATTAATGGAACACCAACATCATAGATCACTCTATCTGATATATCAACATAAAAACTAGACCACTCCATAATCAGGTCTGTACACTGACAAAACAAAAGCATTTCCCAAATCAGAAGAATGACCAAACATCCCTCTATCCTAGCTGATTTGAGTGATTGTTCCTTGTTTATCAATCATAGCTTGAGCCTTGATTTTTTAGATAAGAATTAATATATTCAATCATAGAAATACCCTCACTTCTTGACAACTTGCACTCAAAGATAGAGTCCTTCTTCTTGAACCCCTAAAAATTGCCCACTGAGTGTTCCCATGCTGTACTTTCTTCCTTCTTCCAATGAGTTAATAGATCCAACTTTATTAAATTATAGGTGTACTCCTGGTGGTCTTTGGCTAAAGGGCCTTGAGAAGTTAATAAACTCTGACATTCAAGTTCACCATTTTCAGCCTGAAAAATCAAAAATTTAAATGTACTTGTGTATTAGAAGATTGAACTGATTTTGTAAAAAAAAAAAAGGAAATTACATACTTATAACTCATGGGGTTAATTAATACCAAGGAATTAATCTTAGTATATATGCATATTTTCACAATTCTAAGTTAGAGGACCTAATTTAAATTTAATAGATACACATCAATGTATGAGCCTTTGCACAATGGTAAGCTAATAGACTTGTATGGTACAACTGAAAAAAAATGACTTGAGAATATAATTTTGAAGAAAATCTTATTAAAAACTTGCTAATTCTTTTCCATTTAGGAATAGTCTAACATACTAAATGAGTGCTTCAAAAAGACTGAAGTTTATAATTCCAATTCTCTGAGAAACAAATACATGAAAACAAATTTCCAACTTAGGGAGTAGATTTTTTCTTTTTCACTTCATTGACCAATAAAAACCATAATCCCTAAATTAATTTCTACAAGATGTAGAGATAAGTAATTAAGCCAGTGTGGCCAGTGGGCTATAGGGTAAACCTTATGGACCTATCTTTCCCATTCAGTCTTAAAGAGGAAAAAGATATAATTCCTAAGTTCATAAACACCTTTTAAAACAAACAACAGACTGCATTACATTTAACAATTACTATGTTTAATTTCAATGGGAATGCAATCTTAGCTTCCTCTCTGAGCAGTTGGAGGTTATTTATAACATTAGTCACTTTACTCAGTAGGATATAGTATTCAGAATGGATGATTTTGTGATGCATAATTTTACTTTTCCCAGACAACCTAACAGTTATAGTAGATACAACCTTGTCTCTCAACCGATTTGTTTACAGTGTAGAAATTACTTATTTGTTAAATTAAAAAAAATCAGTTTTCACAAAATTCTCTTCCTAAAAACAAAGAGTTCAATGGGTGAATCATTTGTTTACAAGTTTAAGTAAATAAAACTTCATTATTTTTCAGATCGAGGAATGAAATGAACAAAAATGAACAGACCTCCTTATTTCCGATCTTAAGAAACAAAAGCATACTCATTGAGGAAAGAAAAACATTAACTTTTTACAACTCAATTCATTTCATTCTCCAGTCTCTAAGGCTCCATGCGTTCCAACTGCCTATTTTTTTCTTCTTACCACTGAACATTTTCTAACACACCAAATAATTTACTTATTAATTTTATTGTCTCTTGCCACCGTAATGTAATATTCACGAGGACAGGGGGCCAGTATTTTTCTTTTCTCTTCTGGACAGCACCGAAAATAGTGACATTACATAGCAGGAGAGATCTGCTGGCGAAACGTAGATCTCTCATTTGGATGAGAGCTAAAGAATACGAATAATATCCTAGAAAATATTTTAATCTTAGCAGTAACAAGGCTCAGGTAGAGGCAACGTCTAAATTCTTCCGGGATTAGCAATGAATTAAACAACAAAGCCTCGAATTCCGCTGGCAACAATTTTGCAAGTGTATGAAAGCAGCCAAGAGAGGCTGCTATTGAGTTAGAAGAGAAGGTCCCCGCTTCGTAAATCTCCTAGCCCTAAAGGGTTTATTAAAATTCTCCAAAGTTATGTGCCCTCACTGCCTTCTGGCCTTGAGAATTAACCTTGAAATCTATCACCTCCTCTGCACAGACAAGAGGAAGAGGGCGGGCTAACCGTCGCAATCACGGCCTCGGTGCTCCTTCCCCTCCGAGGCCAGCAGGTGGAGGCGCTGGGGGACAGGGCCGCAGCGACAACTTCCTCGGGTTCTCTCAGGTCATCGTGGACTTGGGTACTGCCACGAGGATCCACCCCCTCCCCACCAAAGTGCGGGAGGGAAAAGAAGGCTAACCAGCGAGAAATTTTGCCGGGCAAACCCGCCAGCAGCAGTGGCGGGAACCCTCAACGGCACCGACACCGCCGCCGGCCTCGTGTGCAGCAGGCCTCTGCCCTCACGCGGTGCGTGCTGATTGGCTGCCAGCTGGGCGCGGGGCGGGGCGCGGCGGCACGTTACCGCTGCCCTTCAGGCCTGCGGGAGGTCCGCCCGGCTCCTAGCCTGTCGCCTCGCGTCTCCCGCCCGGCTTCCCGAGTCTGACAGGGCCAGGACGTGCACCCCATGCCAGACTTCCTTTTTCAGCCTGGGCCATTGCATCCTCCCAGGTCTCTCGGGATTTACAGGTCCCACTGACCAGTCAGGGAGTGAAGGCGTCGACTGCCTGGCAGCTCCTTCAAGCCATGGGCGGCTAGGAGTCGTCCCGAAGAAGCGAGCGTCAAAGGCGCAGCCCAGCGCAGTTTCGGCGGGAAAGTGTTTTTAATCTGCCGAGACTCCGCCAGGTGCACACAGGGCTCAGCCACTCGCGGTCTCCCTTCCATTTCTGAGGCTCCCCCAGTCGGCGTGCCCGCCCGCACCCCGCCCAGGCCCTGTGGACCCTGTGGACCCTCGCCACCACCCCACAAGGCCTGCAGGCGGGCGGCTCTTCGCAGCACTCAGTAGGGCACCCGGGCCATGTTTCTTACCAAACAGCGAGCGTTTATGCTCTCAAGTGCGCCCCTCCAGGCCCTCAGATACGGGGCCCAAGGGGCTCCTTTTCCCCGCCACCAGGGCACCCGCCGGTCGCCGTACTCACCGCCCCGGACTCGGTCTCCATCTTCCCCTTCGCTCTTCAAACACGGGCTAAAGGCGTAGAAACCTAAAGTTTGAAGGCACCTTCACACCAAGGAAGCCACGCCACGTTTTCCCTCTGGGACTCTCCCCCTGGCGGCGACGACGGCGGTGGCAGATGTAGGGGCGCAGGCTCGGACCCGGGGCCTGAACCTGCCACCTGGGGGGGATGGGGAGGGGCTGGCGGCGTCGCCTCCGGCAGCAGGCCTCAGTGCGGGCGGGCGCTGCAAGCCCGGGAGGGGCGCGGGCGGGCGGACGAGTATCGGCGAGGTCTCCAAGGCGGCACCACTCAGGGGCAGGGCGCGCAACAAGTTGAGGCGGGAGTGGGGTATGCGGATCGAGGGCTCGGTTATGGAACCGCTCTCGTTGGCTTTCCGAAGGTTGGGGAAGAGAGAGCGAACGGTAATGCAAAGCTCCATGCACCGCACGCTTTTCACTGTCCTCCACTGGTGCGTTTTGAGAGGTTGAGGTGACTTCAAGGCTTTATTAAGGCGCAAGAAGCCAGAAGGGGAGACTTCTGAAGGCTGGTGAGAGGCGAGGGAGACACTTTTCAGAATCAAACTCTGACCCCCGAGCCTGACGCGCCAAACTCGGGGACTCCGGAGAAGTCGCAGACGCCACGCTGCACCTGTTGTCGCTGTCACTCATCCCCGCCGGGCGGGCGGGGCGGCGCGGGCGGCTTGGTTGGGACCTGCCGCGCAGCCGGGTCCAGGCTAGGGCGCCAGTCCCGGGCCCGCGCCCAGCCGCTTCCTTGGGCCGCTACCGAGCTCAGCGCCGCGGAGCAGTGGCGTCCTCGGGAGCGGGTCCGTGACGAAGCCACGCGCGTGAGTTGCTGCCCTGCAGCAGCGGCTCCAACCTCCCGTGGCTTTGGGATTTCCTTTGAAAGACGGCTTTGCAAAGAATATTTCTAAAAGGTAGCTGAGATTATGTGTATCTTCAAGTGGCAGGCAAATTATTAGATAAATTTATGTAATAAGGGTTCTCAATTATTACAACGGATCATCAAGAAATTTGTTTAAGGCTTAATGCTTTAAATCACTTCATTCCCACAGCAACCCGCCAGACAGATAGATACACCCATTATAATATTACAGGTGAGTAAACAGAGACCTGGAGGGTGAGTAATTTGGTAAAGGTCTAAATCTATAGGAGATTTAACCCTGGGTCTCTAACCCTGCTCTTGATCTTAATAGTTTTGCCACGTTTAAAGCATCAGCAGAAACATAAACATCTGTTTAAAAGTTGTATAAATGGTAACTTTGGCAATCTCTATCGTAAAGTTAGATTTCGTGTTGTTTTATTTTCAAGATGGGTTAAAAATTCATATTATTTCCCCAAAATAAAATGGGAAACAATTTTTGTTCATTTTAGATGAAGCAACCTAAAAGTTGTGTTTTATATATATATATATATATATACACACACACTCATTTTTCTCAGGTTTTAGTTTCTGTGGAAACAATATAGAAATATCAGATAAAATTTCATTCTGGAGCATAATAAATTTACTGTTTAATACAATTAGGTGTTCTTTGGACATTTTTTCTAGTTTTAATAATGATGGATTTGAGCAGATATTACTATACGAATTTATGTTGAAGTCTTTATTTTCTGACTAAAAACACTTATTTTTCAAGACTGTATCCTTTAAAAATAATTTATTTACCATAGTAGGTGTTTAGTCTGATGCAAATTAACAAAATTCAGGGAACAAAGAGTGTATTCCATGACCTCCTTGGGTGTTAGGGGGATATATTGTATGACAGTATGCTAATTTTCTGTTTTACCCCCCTCCTCCTTTGTTTTTGGTACTGAGGATTGAACCCAGGGTGCTTAACCACTGAGCCACATCCCCAGCCCTTTTTTGTGTTTTATTTAGAGACAGAGTCCTGCTGAGTTGCTAAGGACCTTGCAAAATTGCTGAGGCTGGTTTTGAACTCTGGATCCTCCTTTCTCAACCTACCAGGCCACTGAGGTTACAAGCATGTGCTACTGCACCCAGCTTCTGCCTACCTTTAAATTCTTACACCAAGAGGAAGCTCTGATTTAAAAATTGGATAAATCACATAAAATTTTACAACTCAATCCAATTTAGTAGACATCTATAGAACTGTTATTTTGCTCAGTACATAGTGGAATGTACTATGGAAGACACGAAATGAAGATCAAACTCTGTTCTCAAGGCATTTTAAATATAGAAGGGCCAGGCTTGATGGTAGATGTCTCTAGTCCCAGTTGCTCAGGAGATTGAGGCAGGAAGATCACTTGATACTGTGAGTTCAAGGGTAGCCTGGGTAACATGGTGAGACCTTGTCTTGGAAAATAAAAAAGATGAGAGGAGAAAAGACTTCTCAAAATAGTAATTATATCTGAATATGCATATAATAAATAGAATACAATCAGAATAAAGTTAAAATATATAAACTATGATATATAAACTATGGTTGGAGGAATCTGGGCCCACAGAGGAAGGTATCATGGTACATTGTGGCCAATGCTGGGTAAGAGCACTATCAAAGTTTTTCTGGTGTAAACAGAAAAACTGGAGGAAAGGTATTAAGATTCTATCGTGTAACCAACACTGTGTTAGACTCATTCTTTTAAAATCTTCTTTTTCTCTTTTTCACTGTCTATGCTTTTTTCTTACTTGAAATTTGAACCTTTGAGAGGTAAAAGTGACCCTTACCACATTAATAGTGACTGTTGGATACAGTTTTCAAAACTTAATTCTGTTTAAATCCAGTACTCACGCACAGTGTACTCTGTTGTTACTTGCACTATGGCAATAAGGAGTTTGTTCTGGAGACCTTTGCAAATTAGGGTCATTAGATTACTGAACTATAAAGTTATGTAATCAGAGCCAAAATTTAGGAAGATAGATCAGAAGAGGTTTTGAGGGATAGCAGGGGAAACACTTGAATTAGGAGAAGAAAATGGCTCAAGTGCTTTCAACAGAGGTAACAGGAGTGAGAATAAAATGCTCAAAGGGTTAAGGAGATACCAGTGAGGACTGAGGCTATTGGTCATGGGTAATGATGGAGAGTTATTGGTAAGGATCATTTAGAAGCCTCAGTTTTAGATATTGGAGATGCCATTTACAAAGGTAATATAAACAAGTGGCAAGCCTAAACATCTCATTTCTGCTAGTATCCCAGTGATTCTCATCTTTTATCCTTTAGTGTATTCAGAGGATAGTTTTGTGTCTTAGTTTATTTTCTGGTCCCAGTAACTGAGCACTACAGATTGGGTAAATTTGTAAAGAAAAGGGATTTCTTTTGGCTAATAGCTCTGGAGGTCCAAGGTTGAGGGGCCACATATGGTGAATGCCATCGTGCTGGTAGAGTCTTGAGATGGTGTGAGACATTCCATGGCAAGAGGCATAGAGTGAAGGTGTGTGTCTCTTCTGACACTCTCCCTCTTTGTGTAGAGCCATCCATATTAAATCATGTGGGTCTACTTCATCTAATTCTAATTGCCTCCCAAAGGCCCTTCCTCTAAATACCATGGTTGGATTAAGTTTCCACTCTTAATAGCTCACAATGGGGATTCATTTTCAACACATACATTTTTTTTGGACACACTCAAACCATATCCAAACCATAACCCTTTTTATATCCCCCCCAAGATTTACCCAAACCTGTCCTCCTTTTTTGCTTATCTTCTCTTTCTGACAGTTTCCCTCTTCTTGCTTCCTGAGTTTTCTAGCTTCAGATTCTAATGACTAATCTACTTTAAGTTCTCCTTTTCTTGATAACCATTTTGGTGTGCTTCCTAGCTTATAAAACTAGATAACCCCTGCATAGGTCTTTTGGGCCAATCTGTGTGCTGTGGCATGGAATATAGCAATGATTAAGGTCTGGTTCTTGTTTGGGTAGCAAGTCCTGGTAGCAGCCTGTGATCTAGTGGGAGAAGCAGCCAGTAGAAGAAAGTTTATATACTTACTGTCCAAAGCGCAGAAGAAGTTGCCAGGTGCAAACAGGCCAGACCAGGGAGTGGTTTAACTTGGTAGATAAAACAACACAAAAAGGCAAGTTTAGAAGATGCCTCAGCTTCTGTTTTATTTATTTCTTGTTCCCAGGTCTGTTAACCAATTGCTTCATTTGGGGGGAATTTCTAGGGGTTTTCTTTTTCTCTGTAATGGTTGAATGTTTGAAACAGGAGAGATGAGAGATAATATTTAAAAAAATATGCCTTAAGGAGGCAAAAAGTTCAGCTCAGATCTCTTTTCCTCTATCAGGAA